CGCGGAAAACCATCATCTTGATGTCCTTGTAGTCCTCGGAGAAACCTTGCACACAGAAGTCCTTGAAGCGGCGATCGGAGATGGTTTCCCCCCATTCTCCCTAGTTGAGAGCGGAGGCGGTGTTTCTTGTTGAAAAAATCATCCGGGTTCTCTCCTGGCTCCATGACCCTCCTTTCTAGGTCGTCCAGTTTAGCCCTGATCACTTCATCTGTCACTCGATTGTAGTTGGCCTTCAGTTCCGCGAATGCTGCCTGCCCGTCGCCGCTAAGGCCGGTGTCGTCTTCGTGCTTGTGTACGGTTAGTGCAGCCGGCAGTTCGACGAGGCAGAATAGGATTGCGTAGAGGTCTTCGTTTGCTCTCTCGTATGCGGCGAAGGTGGTGTCCGAGGGATCAGGCCTGCGCATTCCCTTGAGAAGTGGCATGATGTCCCTCCGAGTAACGCCGACGACTACACCCAATTTCTTCATCCAGTCGTTGAAGTCCTCTGGTTTCGTTCCATCGAACTTGGGGAGTCCTCTGATGACGTTGGCCAGGTTTGTGGATCCATCACTCCAGATGCTGCCTCCGCCTCCAGTTCCCGATGTTGCTTCCATTTCTGGTTTTATCCTGATGATCTCGTCTTGAATATTTTTGCTGGTGCATTAGTCTACTCAGCTATCTGTCTCTGAGATTCTTCCAAGCCCGCTCCTTGTATTGATATTTAGGACTCCGGTTGCCGATTTGTGGCCCCGCTTCTGAGACTTTTTTCTCACTTAGAGAATCGGTGAAAATAACTCCGGTTGTAGGCCAATTGGCGACCCCGCTCGTGATACCCTTTCCTCACATAGAGAATTGCGGAATAGAATTACGGTTCCCGGTCGACTTTCGCTGTTGATACAGTCTTCCCTCCTGTCTCTGCCGCAGAAGTACTTGCTCGATGTCTAAATCGAGGCTTCCCGCGCAACACTTTGCTGTTTGATTACCACAGAGGTACCCACTACTTGCTGCTGCTGCAGCAGTGGAAACGTGTATAATGAACTCTCAGCCCCTTGGTGTAGATGACCAAGTAGTGCGCTCACTTTCGTTTCCGCTGACCGTTGATGATCTCCCAAGTCTCCGAATCCAGATTTCCGCTCGAGGTTCACAGACGGATGTTGTCGTACAAAGTAGGATGTCTTGACCTCCGTCGTGATGTCCGCAGCTCCTAGTGTTCGCGTAAAGCGAGGCTCATAACCTCACAAAATGTGGCGTTCAGCAGCAGCGGAGGTGGCGGTGCTGCTGTAGCTCGTAGACTTTGTAGCCGACCACAGAGGTTACACTGCTGTCACCGCGGTGCTGCTGTAGCTCGTAGACNCGTACAAAGTAGGATGTCTTGACCTCCGTCGTGATGTCCGCAGCTCCTAGTGTTCGCGTAAAGCGAGGCTCATAACCTCACAAAATGTGGCGTTCAGCAGCAGCGGAGGTGGCGGTGCTGCTGTAGCTCGTAGACTTTGTAGCCGACCACAGAGGTTACACTGCTGTCACCGCGGTGCTGCTGTAGCTCGTAGACTTTGTGGTCTATCACAGAGGTTACACTGCTGTGAGATCGGTAGGCCCGAGCGAGCTTCGGAAAGAGAAATGTAGATAGATGTTCTTATGAACTGACTCCCTGGCCAGGCTTTGATGCGTGCTAAATGAGAGTGAGCACAAGGGGCGAAGGCGCGCTTGTGTCTCAGCTCAACAACAAAAACAAAAAACAAGCAGCAAACACAGCAGGTTCCGAGGGTCTCCGGGGTATGGGCCCGAGTACCGGAATTTCGGGGTTCGGAACAACAAAACAACTACAGTCTCGCCTGCCAAATTATCCCAGCTACAACTCTGTGGTCATGTTCTCTGCAAAGTACCATCTCTTCTTTCTGTATCATGTCCACGGAAGGCTAGTTGCCGCAGTCGCACTTATGGTAAACTGTGTCTGACTACGTTGTAACAGTTTTCCTCGACACGCCGGACTGAGGTATGTTTGAGTAAGTACACTCATACTCGGTTGGTGAGTACCGCTGAGTACTGTGCGTTTACGCACTTAACGAATCGCTTGAGTAGGGATGAGTGTTTTCGAAACGAAATACTCACATGCTCAAGAAAAAGTCGAGTATTTGTGAAATACTTGACTACTCAAGGATTTTGTCAAGTGAGTAATGATACTCGAGTAGCTGAGTACACATGATGCGTAGATTTTGAGGTACTTACACTCCTGAGTATCGATCGATATGAGTAGACTATCCGAGTACGGAGGAGTATTGTTGGAATTCTTACTCAAAGGCTTCAGTATTTGTTGAGTATTTTGGAAAAAACAGTAAATTACTTTACTAAACACACCCTGGCGGAGAATCCACACCAATTTGTAGTCAGAGCACCCTTTTCGAATGCAATATCTAGAGGGATGCGAGAAGACCCAACAAATGTACGTTAATAAATAGCGGCACCACACACATAAATAGCAGCCAGCAGACGACTCATCCCGCGTATGTGAGTGTGCAGCGGGCGTCATGTGAAATAACCACACCGCCTTATCAGCCAGAAGGCATAACGGTAGTCACGGACAACAACAAGCGGAGTGTGTGTGCCGCAGCTACCACCATAGAGGGCGGAACTATGAACGGGCTATGTACATAGACTACGTATGTATGCGGTATTCAATCATTCATGATGTTTCAAGCAGTCCACACCGTGTGTGGCACAGCGGCGCACGCTTGTGTAAGAAGAAGCGGTGTGTGTGTAGGAGCGTGCAATTGCAACCAGCGTGGTTGAGTGTTGTATTATGTGTGGAGCAACGTGCAAGCGCAACCAGTCAATGTGCAGCAGCGTGCAAGTGCAACCAGGCGGTCGCACGAATTTTTGACTTTGTCTAAATAACTTCCACGATGTGAGGACTGGGCGACAGCGGCAGGGGCCTTCATCAATTGAGTGGCAACTAACAACGTGAATCACGACACGCCATGAGACCGTACATACGTATGTATGCATGCAGAATTCATAGACTAGACTAGACTAGACTATATGTACATGTAGATGCATCCATGGCAAGGAGGACTGCGAAACATCTTCCGACGTGCATACGGTACACATGCACCCCCGACATCGCAGTGTAAACAATCAGCAGTATGGTACGACCAGACCTTCGTCGTTGTTTTCTAAAGAGAAGCGTGTGTAGCTCGTACTCAAAAGGCACGAGAGGGCGTGAAGATTCGCACAATCTACAGCAGTACATACATGTGACCTTTTTTTTTTCTTTTTCTCAAACATTCGACAGTTTCGGACCCCAAAAAAAGCGGAAATGAGGGCGTATATTTTGAGTGAAGCCATCGTTCTGAGGATCGTTCCTGACAGTCTTGCCAGAACCAGAAACAAGGACATAATATTTCGATTCAAGAGCCTAGCGCGGCTCGTTTTGTGGAAATTTTGCCAACTTTCTTTTCGATTTAAGCAACTTTCTTCGAAACAACGCATCCACACCAGCCACCACCACCACACCAGACCCACACGCACACACAGCAGTCTGCTACGAACATGTCCACCCGCCATAAGAGAAGGGCAGCGTCCAGCGCAAAGGTCCTGGATCTGGCGCGCGACGAGGTCGCCAAGAGGGAGGCGGCACGCGCAGCCGGACGGGTGCGCTTTGCGGCTCTAGGCCAGCAGCACGCCCGCGACCTCGAGGCAGCGGGAGGAGAAGTGCAAGCGGCCGGGGGAGACGGCGACGATGTCCAAGTCGTGGCAGCGCCAGCAGCAAAGCAGGCTAGGGTTAGGAAGAGCACGAAGTGGCCTCCTACTTTCGACTTGGCGCTGGCAAGGGCGGGTGAGTGGTATATGTACTTGCTGCCTCCGTACTGGTGCGATTTCCTGTGCTGGAGTTAATTGTTTCCTTTGCTGGGGTTGAGGGAGCGGCTCATGCGCGCGCACACATGCACGCTGTTTTTGAACTGTAGACTATAGGGACAGCCACTCCGAACCAGATTGTTGATCCTCGGCAACGAGTGTGCAACGAGTGCGCAACATAAACGCAAGATTCATTACAATAGCAGCGGAGTATGGTAGGAGCGCAAAGCTATATTCGGCGTTCGTACGGGATACAAGTCTTGCTTGGCGAAGAAGATGAGACTTTCTTGCACTGGTTCCGACGTTACAAAAATACACGTCATATTTGGCATCGTGTTGAAAATTTATACCAGCTACGAGTTTTATGGGCGTACGAAGCCGCTGCATCTCCCAGTAGATACAGTCTTGCAAAGAATGTAACATGTCGCCTTTAGATGGAACTAGCACGAAAAAGGTGCGCACACAATTGTAAGCGCAAAGGAGTCCTCGACTAGTATTTTCTCGCATCACAGCGGCACATAGACGGACTATTATGATGGGCGCGGATCCGCTGCCGCGTCCCACAGGAGAAGCAGTCTACCCGTGGCAGATCATGTTGTGTTTGTGGTACTTGGATATGAGTCCGATCTGTGCATCCTCTGTGGGGGATACGCGTCTGGGAACGTTGGGTGTGATGGGTATGCATGCGGTTGGGGTCCAAGTGCGGTCCCCCCGGGTGATCACACGGCCGTGTGCTCCCGGCACGTGTCTGAGGGGCTTGCGTGTTGGTGACCAGCTTGCCTGAGGGGCTTGCGTGACGGATATATATGATACATGGTCCTTGTTCATCTGCTGTTCCTGGGATAACATAGTACCCAGTCTCAAAACCACAGACCGCTGAGGGCGGCAATGCACACAAACACGATATCGATGTTTGGAGCCTAGCTTGGCCAGGTGTTAGTTCGGCGATGACGGATAGAGAAAGAGAGTTGTTAGAAGAACGAGCGAGGAATGCCGAGAGAGCAGCCGAGGAAGCGGCAGCCAAGATGGCGGAAATGCAGAGGAGAATAGATGAAGTAGGGGAGAGGAGTTCAGCGGAGAAAGCCGCGAGAAGGAGAGTGGGTGATGCCGGGTATGCGGCGGGTAACATGAGGATAAGTGGCGCTGGCTATGCGCCTGGGTACCATAGCAGGGATGGAGCTGCCGGAGGGGCGGCTACTTTTGGAGCCGGGGGGAGGGTTAGTTTTTTCGATGATCGGGAGCAGCAGCAGCGTGACCGCGATTGCGTGCGAAAGGACCGGAAGCCACCGGTGTACGACGGCATCTTCGCACTGTTCAAGTCGCTGTTCGAGCTCTTCCTTGCCCGCGAAGATCTATCGCACACACTCGCCAAGCCGGCGAGTCCAGACCAACGCATCTGGCTCCTCAACGGGCTGCCAAGGAGCGAAAACGTCCGCTTGCACTGTGAGCGTCGCGTGCCCGATCATGAGTATGCGTTTGAGTACTTGATGCGCGCCAGGAAGGGGGCAAACTTTCAGGGTAAAATCCTTGCCGTTAGGACTGACTGTGTCTGGGGCGTGGGAGGCTGTACAAGAGTTCTGCCTGCCGATGAGTGACTCCGAGCAAGAGGCACTGAAGCTGTCTCTCGCGAACATGAACATGCAGCTTGGAGAGGACCCAAAGGAGTACTTTGCTAGGTTCGACAGAGTGTCGTCTACTCTCCGCGCCGTCAACGGCGATGTGATCACGGATAGAGAAGTCCTCGCGATGCGTCGAAGGAACCTCTCCGCCGACTACGAACAGGTCCACATTCTCTTCATGGCCAACAGCTCGCTCACGCGCAAGGCCTTGGAGAATCTTGTGCGTAGCCTGCACGCCGAGAGAGACCTCGGGAATATTGCGCGGCGACGGCAGCGCCGACCGGTGACCCACACGCTCTTCATGTCGGCGGTGGAAATTATCCGCCGGGACTGTTGGGGAGTTATTTCTCGTCAACAGCAGCATGGTCTACAGCAGTCCTGCGGAGGTGTTCCCGTACAGCAACCGTTCCAGCAGCAGTGGAGGTACGGCGTGTTTGGCAGAGGGTGTTATTTTCAGCAGCAGCAGCAACAACCGTGCGTGCAGCAGAGGTTCTTGCCACAGGCATCGGTGCAGCAGCAGCCCATGCTACAGCAGCAGCCTCGTCAACAGCAGCAACCTCTACGGTCTTGCAACGGCGTTTCAGCAGCAGCGGAGGAACGGCGAGTTTGGCGGCCGGTCTGTGTGTCGGCAGCAGCAGCAACAGCCAGGCGTGGTGTACGGCGGTGACTCTCAGCAAAAGCCGCGGCAACAGCAGCTAGCGGACGGCTTCACCGGGGGTGCAGGTGGACAGGTGCGTGGTGGGGTGTTCGTTGGTGAGAAGGGGTGGGGGGGCTGCTGCCGGTTCGTCTGCGGCATATTTGCCCGTAAGTGCCCCCGCCAACGTAGCTTCTCTCAACGTAAACACACACTCCGCCACTCGCTCTCCCCAGCGGCCCGCGACATCACGTGTAGCACCTGCAGTAGTGCGGCAACGCGATGAGCTGAATCTCGTGGAGGGCGGATACAGCAGTAGACGTGTAGCGGAGGAACACATGCTTGGATCGGATCACGTTGTTGTAGTTTCGCCGTCCGCGGAATCACAACAACCCAAGCATTCGTCGGAAGAGGCAGTAGTAGCAGCGGCGTCCCCGGTCACCGCGTTGGCAATGGGTATACAGACGGCCGCAGCGGCGGCGGCGGCGGCGGCAGCATCGGCAGGAGCGGCGGCGGCACGGACGGGTTCGGCCAGAGCGCCGTCACCGACAGCAGCATCGGCGGGAGCGGAGGTGGTGCGGACGGCTTCGGCCAGAGCACCGTCCCCGACAGCAGCATCGGCGGTGGCGGCATCGGTGACGGGGGGAACCGCAGCAGCAGCAGCAGCAGCGGCGGCGTCCCCGGTCGCCGCGTTGGCGTTGGGTGTCCAGACGGCCGCAGCGGCGGCGGAAGCGACATTGATGATGGGGGTAACGGCAACGGCGACAGCAGCAGCGGCGTCCCCGGTCGCCTCATCGGCGTCGGGTGTCCAGACGGCCGCAGGGGCGGCGGCGGCGGCACCGGTGACGGAGGTATGTGACGAAGAGTTGGAGGAAGCGGTTGGTGCGACAACCATGCCATTGCCAGTCCTCGAGGAGCTTGATAGCCAATGTGCTGGGGGGGACGTGAGTAACAGCAGCATCAGCAGCAGCAGTAGCAGCAGCTGCAGCAGCGAGGACAGCGGCGGCGATGGGAGCGGGGACGAGGGGTTGGGTGAAACCTGAAGTGGAGCCCCGACGCACCCCTTCGACCCCGGTACGACATCTTCGCGTGGCGCGAGGAGACGGGAGGCGGTACCAGGGGTGGCGTACCCCTTCGATAGGGGCAGGAACGGGAGTGGCAGCTCCGGCGGCGGCAACGGCGGCAACGGCGGCAGCCGCAGCAGCGACAGGAGTGGCGGTTACGGCCAGAGCTCCGTCGGCGACACCGGCGGCAGCAGGAGCAGCGACGGAAGTGGTGGCTTCGGCCAGAGCTCCGACGGCAGCAGCAGACGGCAGCGGTGGCTTCGGCCAGAGCCTCGTCGGCGGCAGCAGCGACAACGGCGGCGGTGGTAGAGGCGGCAGCAGCGACGTCACCGGCAGCCCTGTTGGCGCTGGAACTAATGACGGTCGTGGCGGCGAGGAACGGCGACGGCGGCGATGGCAGCGGCGGCAGCAGCGGTGGCGCCCTTTGAGTCGACCGGGAACGGGGAGGACACGGTGACAGCGACGACCTCACCTTGTTACAGCCAAGTGGGAGAACATGTGAAACGTTTACGACTTTGTTTGGTTTTGTGAGCAGGCATGTATGTTTTTGCTTCGCCATTTGGCTTCGCATCTATTTTTGTTTGTTCTGTTTTTCCCTTGCTAGCGCACCGTGCACTTTGATGCAGCAAACACATGTATGCCACGGCGTGTGCGTTTTTTTTTTTTTCCTTTTGTACTTGGTTTCATGATAGTAATTGTACGCTGCGACAAGATAATCATTGCCACAATCTGTGGAATAGGAAGCAGCACGTGGGTATGTTTTTTCCTTGTTTCTTGGTATATTTTCAGTCGCGTTTAGCCTTGCCGCTGAATGCTTCATACTATTTCCGTACTCTTTGGAGGGAGAACGTTCAGTCGAGTTTTTTTTTTTTTCCACGAACTGGACACTTTGTACTAAGAATGTTGCAATACTTTGGATTTTATGTGAGGTCCTGAGTTAAGTGGTCGCTCTCTGCGGTGTGTTTCTGGCCACGCGCACGAAATGGGATGATAGCGCGTTGTTTGACATGGACGAAGGCATACCGATCAGGGAGCAGGGGGGCTTTCGGGGTTCCACTTGAGGAGACAGTTTGTATCCGGTACGACTTTTTCTGGAGTTTGATGCCTTCGTGTTTTCATGTTTCTGGTTTGTATCGCATATTTCGCTGCTCTTGCATCGAAAATCATGGGGGGGGATGTCAGGTATGACCGTGATTCTAGAGGGCATGAGCTGCAATCGAATTGGTTTGTTTTTCTGGTCGCACCTACTTGTGTGTTAGGTGAACGGCAAAGCAAGGGGGGTGTTGGCATCAAAATATTAGCTCGGGGTGAATTGTGGGAGCTGATAGCAGGGGGGCTGTTTGCGTGGATGCTTGCTTACGTTTTCTATCGTTTCTTGGACAACAGCGACGGTACCGATTAGCGGGTGCGCGCTGTTTAGGATCTGGTCCTTGGACATTTTGTTGGAGGAAGGATTTGACATGTATTGACGATCAATGGTTGGGGCCGTTGCGCTTTCCAAAATTCTCGTTCTGATTGGTCAAGAAGTTGAGTTATTATATTATTTGCGGAGTTGGTGCCGCCAACTCTTTTGAAGTTGTTTTTTCCAGAAAAATCCGTTTTCGTTTCGACGCCTTTCTGACGCGGCACAAATATTTGGTGGGTACCTCATTGAGAATGATTATTTTATGTCAACGGTTTGAGATTATTTCCCGAGGCGAATGCGTTGGATTCGTGAATAAACTGATGGAGACGCTTTGTGTTGAATGCGTAGCCAGTTTTGTTATTGAATAAGTTTTCTCAAGGGGTGTTTTTCTGTGTTGGTTACTTGCGCGTAAAGGGTTGCAAGATCGCACATCGTATCAAGTAGGGGGGCTGTTTGTGGTACTTGGATATGAGTCCGATCTGTGCATCCTCTGTGGGGAATACGCGTATGGGAAGTTTGGGTGTGATGGGTACGATGTGGTTGGGGTCCAAGTGCGGTCCCCCGGGTGATCACACGGCGGTGTGCTCCCGGCACTTGCCTGAGGGGCTTGCGTGTTGGTGACCAGCTTGCCTGAGGGGCTTGCGTGACCGGATATATATGATACATGGTCCTTGTTCATCTGCTGTTCCTGGGATAACATAGTACCCAGTCTCAACACCACAGACCGCTTGACGGCGGCAGTGCACACAAACATGTTGCATCATGTTAAATGGGGTTACACGCAGTGTTAGTTATCCGGCATCCCGCTGTAGCCGCAATAGATGCAGTCTACCCGAAAGAACGTCGCAACAACTACTGCGAAGCACCGCGGACCCTGTGCAGTTGACACTCTGCGCAATAGCCGTTTCGTGCGCTGCAACACGGCCGGTGTTCACGGACTCGTTTAGTGGCGAGACCTATGCTCCCTCCTCTTCTCAAAACGCGCATGTATCTGGTGTAAAAAATGGAGTTGAAGCAAGTCCCCACTACGACATTCAAAGGCGCTCCCACCCTTGTCCTCTACAGGTCTGCAGAACGAAATGTGGAAAGTGAATGGGAGCGGGCGTTCGGTCGTCGAAAGGTGGGACGCCTGCTGGAAGACCCTCAACCAGGAGCCCTTGGTCAGGATCTTCAAGGACAAGAAATCCAAAAATTGCAAGGCGCGCTACGACAAGATCGTTGACGACCAGAGCAAGAGCGATGGTAAAGGCCAGCGGGACTCCGGAGCCGGCACTGCTGAGAGCGGTTCGGAGGACGAGGGAGAGAAGAATACCAAGATCCAACTGGTGAGGGGTCTAGAGCCATTACGCTATCTCTACCTTTTGTCACGGGCGCAAGCCCGCGTGTACACGACCATGGCACAGTCTAAACAAGACGGGCACGAATGTCTGCACATGGAGAATCCACAGAATATCGTGAAACACCTGCGCTGTCCCGACCGAAGGAAATGCCTGCCGTCGTCGCCAACGTTACAATTGCAGATGAGAGGGGTACGCACAGCGATAGCTGTTAGTCCAACTTTCATGCGCAGCATGACAAAAGGAAGACAGAAGTAGATAAGGAGTGCTACACGCCAGGCGACGCAAAACGTGCAGAGAGTTAGCTTGCTGAGACGGTCCTTCACCCACAAAATCAAAACA